GCCGCTTCCATCGCTCCGTCAAAGTTGCGCTCCGACGTGTGTTTGAAGAGAAAGCAGGGAACGAGGAGAGGAGTCACGTGTGTTTGGACACTGTGGTGGAGGTGACCTCTCTGTAAGGCACTGCTGGTGAGGTGACCTGGAGATGTGGCACCTCACAGCCAGCCAGAAGTGTGGGGGCTTGGGGGCACGTGGCTCAGAGCCAGGGTATCTGGGCTCAGTCCTGTTCCTTGGCTGTATTTCCCTGGAATGACCCTTCCTGCCCCATTCCCAGGGAATAAACTCTGTCTCCTTTGGCTCAGTTGAGTTCTTCCTGTGCATTAAATAAAAAGCTACTTATCTGGTCCAGTCCCCGTTTTCTCTCTTCATTTTACTTTCTGTTTATTTTAATTACAATTTTCCTTATATTTAGTTCTGTCATTGACAGTAATTCAAGTCTTATTTCCTCCCGTACATATTGTGCAATGAGGATTTCTAGTTCTTCTCAGATCCCTCCCTAATGCAAAGCGCAGCTATGACAGAAAGACATCCTAAGGAAGCTCTAGCATAGGCATAATGGATAACAAGATGGAGAGAATAATATTGCCAAATATTCATGAGATTCATCAATTAAGAATAGAGAACAATAAAACAAAGCAATTAAGTGTGTGCTAATATTAATATAATTACCAGTACAGAATCAATCTATATAACCCAGGAATATCTGTCAGTGAAGGAGGATATTTTCTATCCTATTTATCTTCCAAAGTTTCTTTCCATTAGTCATTTCCTCTACTCAGAGAAGATTGGAAGTCAGTGCCCTAAAATTTGGTCTGAGTTCAGAAGAAATTGGACTTTATGGGCTCATTCCTTCTTCATTTTAAGGTGATTTAAAAACAGCTTTTTTGTGAGAGGTCCCAAGAAATCCCAAGGGAAAAAATTCTGAATCACCTGTATGTACATTATGGAAAAATAGCATTAAAAATTAGATAACAGTAGAAATGGGACTCAAATTCCAGCTTTCAGGAGCTCAAAACAGGAAACAAAAAGCAACTACAGGCATTAGGGTGAACCACTAGTTCTTTTAAGTAATGCTTTTTAAATTAATAAAAAGGCAAAGGAACAGAAAAAAATGTAAAAAATAATAGAAAAAAAAAAGCTTCCCTTTAGGAAAACAATTCCAGATGAAGGAGTGAAGGTTTTTCAAAGAAAATTACCTACATTTCCTTCTCCTAACAATTTTGGTTCAAAGAATAAATGTTAGGTAGTGTTATAGGACAAATAATCTCATCTTGTACCTCAAGGGATTGAGTCTATAGAATAATTTGTTGCAAATCATGTTATTTATTTACCTTTTTCTGTTTCCTGTATTTTTTCCCTAACCTTGAAATTATTTTTATTGGTAAAGGAGATTTAAAGCCGTGGATTCTTATCTGTCCTTTTCAAGGAAGAAACAACAAGCAATTCATGCTTTAGTTAGATGCAGAAAGTCTGTCCAGGGCTGGAAGAAATTAAAATAACTTCACTCTTTGACATGCTTACATTAGGAAGCCCAGAATGGCTCTCTGAGCTGCAAAAGTGTGCTTGGATATGGGTATTTAAAATTAAGTGGTATAAATTCCTCCTCCTTGCAGGAGTTTTGTCTGATTTCAACAGGAGGAGGGTTGTTTCCCATCTCATCTTCAGCGATCCGAGTGAAAAGTGACTGAGGATTCATGCACTTAGGAATGACAGGGATTTTTTTTTTAATTGAGTGAAGTGCAAATTCTAAGCAAGATTCCTTTGAGGAAATTCAGACACCAAGACATCTCACCTTATCAAATTAATGTTATTTAATAGTCACTGGAAAGAAACTGGCGTTTTTAATGTGGTCCAAATACAGTTCAGGAAAATTCTGTGTTCCAGGTCCTTGTGTGATTTCACTGATCACAGACAGAACTCATTTAATCAGCTGAACTATCTTCAGTGAGGATACTGAAGGTCAGGTGTGATGAACCTTCCCCAAAACCTCGGAGTTCTTCAACTCTGCCCACTCTTGTCTCTAGACCAGGCTTTTAGGAGGACATAGTTACTGAGTCCCTGGTTTCCCGCTCATCTGACTCTTCAAAGGCCCTCTGGAATGCCAGCCCGAGGGTGAGTTTGAATCTCCGATCCCTGTAGCTTCCCACCAGGAAGTAAATGATGGGGTTGAGGGTGCTGTTGACACAGGACAGCACGAAGCCGATCTCTGGGGAGTAGAGAAATTTGTAGCCCAGGAAGTTGAAGAGGATGAGGACGCTGAGGGGCACGGCAAAGATGAGGAAGAGGAGGACAGTGAGCATGATGATGGTGAAGAGCCGGCCCGTCTGGAAGTGTTGGGAGCTGCACTTGACCCTGAGGAAGAGAGTGAGGCTGAAGAGCAGCATTAGGGGAGTGCAGATGAGGAAGTCGAAGGTCCCGATGGTGATGAGCAGGCTCTGGCAGAGCCTGGGAGAGGGGCGGACGGTGCACAGAATGTACCCCAGCGTGTTCAGCAGCAGGGACAGAGCCCAGAGCAGGCCAGAGATGATGGCAGACAAGTGTTTGGGGCGGTGGGCCCGGCACCAGATTGGAGAGAGCACAGACAGGCACCGCTCGATGCTGATGGCTGTCAGCAGGTACAGGCCGGTCCCGTACATGGAGAGATCCAGGAAGAGGAATATCCCAAACTGCACCCCCACGTTGAACTGCATCAGGTACTGGACGGTCTCGATGGCGATGCAGAGCAGGTACCCGAAGTCGGCGGCTGCCAGGTTCAGGATGTAGACGGTGAAGTGGTTCCTGCGGATGCGGAAGCCCAGGTACCACAGGACCAGGGCATTCCCCACCATCCCACAGGCAGAGCTGATGAGGCAGAAGCTCTCCATGAACTTCAAGACAGCATAGGATGGCTCCTGTTGTCCCACAGCCCCACTCTGGTTAGTCCCAAGGGCCTGGGTGGTTGTGGCTGGAAGGAAGATTGGTGTGGCTGTGGAACTCATAATGGGTGATTCCAGACACACCTGGAAAAAGAGAGGGCAGAGGTGGTAACTCCAGGGTGACTTTCCATCATGGTGACCTGGTGGTGTTCCTGGTTTTGTTCCAGGTCTTTGTAGCTAGAATTTGGACCTTAAAGCTCGTCCAGTTCCACCCCCTGCCATGGGCAGGGACACCTCCCACTAGACCAGGTTGCTCCAAGCCCTGTCCAACCTGGCCTTAAACACCTCCAGGACAGGTCTTCCAGACCCCCTCCAAGCAACCTGTGCCAGGGCCTCACCACCCTCACAGGAAGAATTTCTTTCCAATATCCCACCTAAACCCACACGATGTCAGTTTGAAGCCAGACATATGTCAGTGTTAACAACTCGGGGATAATTGTCCCATGGAGATAGGATTAGGTGGGACAAAAATCTTGTCAGAAGTGTGAAGGCTCCAGGCAGCCAAAATACATGTTTAATCAGTGTAAATACTGATTGAGTTCAGTCCTATGTGCATGCCCAGAAAACATGGTAGGAAGTACCTGGTCTAGTGGAAGGTGTCCCTGTCCATGGCAGGGGGTTGGAACTGGATGAGCTTTAAGGTCCCTTCCAACCTAAATCACTCCGTGATTCTATGATTCTATGGAAACATTTCATTGTATAAAAAACTGGCAGTTTTTTTATATTGATGACTGATTTCTATTTTAATTAAGATATTAATTTGCCATTTAATGTGGTTGGTTTGTTCTCTTGGGTCCTATGTACAGACGATAAACATTTTGATCTGGCACAGTCAGCCCTTTCCTCAGAAACTGTAAGAACCACATGCAAGAAACCACAAAATATCTCATCCTCACAGGACACTGGACTTATGGGGCTGATAATTCACCCCATTCCCTGATGCAGTTCACTGTTTCCTCCCCCCATGGTACTGAGATCTGAATGAGAACCTTGGTAATAAGAAAAAGTAGAAAAATAGGTTCAACACCTTTTTTTTTTTTTGTCTGATAAGAACACATACTGTGGTTTTTCGCTCCCTCTCTCTCAGCCAGCTGCTAATTTGGACATGGTAGGCAGAGAAGTGTCATGAGAGATGGGTTAAAAAGAAGAGAGGAACAAACCAAAATAGGGTTTACCGGGAACCATGTCACTGAACCATCTAACCAGCACAAATCCTCTGTGCTCTCTTTGTAAAACACACAGATGCAGACTTCCAAAACCACAAAATGTGACAGATTGAATCACTGTTGCTTCATCCCAGCACTCCAGACACAATGACCATAGTTCTGCATGGACAGAGGCAAGAGAAATGTGTGATGCAGGGAATTTCAAGGCCAGGTCGGACAGGGCTTGGGGCAACCTGTTCCAGTGGAAGTTGTCCCTGCCCGTGGCAGGGGGGTGGAATGCAATGATCTTTAAGGTCCCTTCTAACCCAAACCATTGCAGGATTCTATGATTTCCTTTAGGGTTGACTGAAAGCAGGGAACTTCTGGCACTGCACCACACTGTTAGATAGTGGTGGATGATCCCATCCTCGGCTCTTACGGGACCTCAGGTCTAACCTCAAGACTTTAGGGCCCAGCCTTGTGGCTGTTCCTCCCTCACCTGGGGTGGCCACAAATTATCAGATTTTGGTTCACAGCAGAAATTAGCTGAAGCACCATCAAACTGTGTGCAGCAACCCTGCTGCGAGGACAGAGGAAGACCCGATGGTTAAAGTGGTTTCCTGGCCTTTAGAAGACCCAAGGCACTGCTCTCTCTGCCACAAGATATCTGTGCAAATCTGAAGCAAGTTTCCAGTCCATTTGGAGAGGTCATGAACATTTGAGTGCCATTGTATTTCCTTGGAAAGACTGAATTCTTGTCTCCAGGACACATTCAAGACATGAATCTACTTCCTTAATAAAACTAATTAGTGAAAGTTCTCAAACAGCAGCAGCCTGAGTCCAGGTGGTCTTTTTCTCTCTTGGAATTAACCACCCTCCCTGTGGTTTACCTGCAAAACCTGCCTGCAAAACCACTTAGACTATGGACAGAAAGTTATGCTGCTGTAATGCAGGTCTCTAAATAACGACATTTATATTACAGAGGTATTTAGAGCAATCCAATAGCACTTGTTCATGGAAAAGCAACCCTGGAACGAAGTTCTTCTTACCTTGAAAATGATCATGACAATGATCTGACCTACAGCAAATTTCTAACCAGCAGAAGAATATTTGATCTTCTCCTTTCCTCCACTGTTTTCTGTTTTCCCCTCCTTCCCCTCACCATTTCCCCAAAAGTCTGAGAAAAAGCATTAGAGTGCAATGGCAAAGATCCATCCAGGAATTTCTCACCTGCTCGTGGGTTCCTTGGAATTTCAGCGACTGCTTTGCAGCAGCTGCCTGGTGTGGATCTGCTGGGCAATATTGTCCCCTGAATTCTGTGGCATAGGGTCCAGACAAGGTCCTTGTGTCAATACTGCAGTGCTGGGCTAATCAGACACTTTAAAAAGCCAGCGTGACACACACCAGCCAATCACTCTCCAGGG